AATCAGCATAGTAAAAATGGCTATACTACCAAAGCAATATATATGTTCAACGCAATTTCCATCAAAATCCCAATGACATTCACCACAGAGATTGAAAAATCTACCCTAGAGTTCATCTGGAAACACAAGAGACCGTGAAGACCCAAGGCAATGCTAAGCAAAAAGAGCAATGCTGGAGGTATCACAATACCTGACTTCAAACTATATTACAGAGCCATAGTAATAAATACAGCATAGTACTGGCACAAAAACAGATATGAAGAAATAGAGGACCCAGATATGAATCCACACAGCTTTGCCCACCTTATTTTTGACAAAGACACCAAAACCATATGATGGAGAAAAGACAATCTCTTCAACAAATATTGCTGGGAGAAGTGGTAATCTGTCTGCAAGAAACTGAACCCAGATCCACGTTTATCACCCTATACTAGTATCAACTCAAAATGGATCAACAACCTTAATATCAGACCTAAAACTCTAAAGTTAGTACAGGAAAGAACAGTGAATACACTGGAAATAATAGGTACAGGCAAGGACTTCCTCAGTAGAACTCCAGCAGCTCAGCAACTAAGGGAAAGGATGGACAAATGGGACTACATGAAATTAAAAAGCTTCTGCACAACAAAAGAAATGGTCTCTGAACTGCAGAGACCACCCACAGAGTGGGAGAAAATATTCACTGGCTATACATCAGACAAAGGACTGATAACCAGAATATAAAAGGAGCTCAAAAAACTAAACTCCCCCCAAATCAATGAACCGATAAAGTACTGGGCAACTGAACTAAACAGAACTTTTTCAAGGGAAGAAATCCAAATGGCCAAAACACACTTGAAAAATGCTCACCATCCCTGGCCATAAAGGAAATACATCTCAAAACCACACTAAGATTCCACCTCACTCCTGTTAGAATAGCTATCAACGAAAACACCATCAACAACAAATGTTGGTGAGGAGACAGGGAAAAAGGAACCCTTACACACTGCTGGTAGGAATGGAAACTAGGACAACCACTTTGGAAAACAATATGGAGGCTTCTTAAAAAACTAAACATAGATCTGCCATATGATTCTGCAATACCACTCCTAGGGATATACCCCAAGAAATGCAACTCAAGTTATTACAAAAGCATCTGCACACCCATGTTTACTGCATCACTATTTACAATAACCAAGTTATGGAAACAGCCAAGATGCCTCACTACCAACAAAGGGATCAAGAAAATGTGGTATTCATACAATGGAATTTTATTCAGCCACAAAGAAGAATGAAATATTGTCATTCACAAGTAAATGGATAGAATTGAAGAACATCATCTTAAGCAAAGTTAATCAGGCGCAGAAGGCCAAAAATCTTATGTTCTCCCTCATATGTAGATTAGAGACCTAAAAGAATATTATTGGACATGGGTCACACACTAAGGGGAGAACACATACGGGAGGAATAGGGAAAGGGAAGGAAACCTAAAACCTGAGAAAGTGTTTGATGTGCCCACTGTAGAGGAGCTAATAAAGCAATCTTAAACTGACAGAGGCCACTATGGCCCAAACAATGTATGCACATATGAGTAAATAAAAGAAAAAAATTTCAAAAAAAGTATTTGGAGCTCTTTATATATTCTGGATATTAATCCCTTATCTGCTGTCTAGCTGGCAGAGACTTCCTCCCATTCTGTAGGTTGCTGCTACATTTTGGTTTGTGTCTCCTTTGCTGTGGAGCTTTTTAATTTCATGCAAACCCATCTGCCAGTCCTTGCTCTTATTTCCCAAGTGGCTGGAGTCCTATTCAGAAAGCTGTTGCCTATATCTTCGAATTCTCTCTTTATGCTTTCCCATAGTAGTTTCAAATCCTACATTAAGACCTTTAATCCATTTTGAATTAATTTTATAAAGAGTGAGAAACAGTTTGTCTCTTGATTCTGGAAATTGTTTCCTTCCAGTGAAGTTTTTAATTTGATAAAATCCCATTTGCGAATTCTTGTTCTGATTTCCTGAGCAATTGAAATCTTACTTAGAAATGTGTTTCCTAATAACTGTACTTTCAAGGGTCTACCTGATGTTTTCCTCTAAAAGTTTCAAAGTTTCAGGCCTTACACTTAGATCTTTATTCTATTTTGACTGATTTTTGGACAGGGTGAAAGATAGCTTCAGTTTTCTGTAGGTGTATATCCAGTCTTCCCAGCACTATATTTTTGAAGAGGCTATCTTTTCTCCAATGTCTAGTAGTGTTTTATAAAACTGGGTGCATCAAATATTTGGTGCCTATATATTTGCAACTGTCATATCCTCCTGATGGATTTTTTCCATTTATCCATAAGAACTGACCTTTGTCTCTTCTGACTCATTTTGGATTGAACTGCTTTGTAAGATATAAATATAGCTGCTCCTATAACTCACTTTGGGGCTCCATTTGCTTAGAATACATTTTTCCATCCTTTAACTTTAAGACTGTATTGTCTTTTCCTGTGAGGTACGTTTCTTGTAGCCAACAAGTGGTGGGTTTTGTTCTTTAGTACAACTTAACAGTCTGTGACTTTTGATTGGAGAACTGAGACTTAACATTCAGATTCATTATTTCCTGGCATTTTGTTGTTTATATACTGTTTGATTCTTCCCTACTCCTCATCTGTTTATCACTTGTCTAGTGAAATTTATTCACTCCCATATGTTCATGGTTGCATTTATTTTCAACCTCTGTGTGTAGATTTCCTTTAAGTACCTTCTGCCTTACTTGTTCAGTGGTCATGAATTCCGTTACTTTTTGTTCATCATGAGAAGTTTTTATTTCTTTCTCCTTCAATAATGAAGGACAGCTTTGCTAGATACAATAATCTAGGTTGGCAATTATTTTCTTTCAGAGCTTGAAATTTTTAGTTTCTGTTCAGATCTGCTATTGTTCTAATGGAGTTGCCTTTATATGTTACTTGGTTCCGCTCTCTTGTAGCTGTTAATATTCTTTCCTTGTCCTAGAAGCCTTAATAGTTTTATCATATTACATAACTATAATATTACCTTTTGAACTATAACATGCCTTGGAGAGATTGTTTTCTGGTTTTGTGTGTTTGGTGTCATAAAAGTCTCCTTTACCTGCATAGTCATCTCTTTCTCAAGACTTAGGAAGTTGTTTTCTGCTATTACTTTATTGAATGTTTTCTTTGTTCTTGTTTGCACCTCTTTGCCTTCTTCTATGCCCATAATTCATAGGTTTAGTCTTTTAATGTCTTTTATGTCTTCAAGCCCTGATAGTTTTGACTTCAATTTGATCCAGTCTACTGAATAGACTTTCAACTGAGTTTTTCATTTGATTTATTGAGCTTTTCATTCCCAGAATTTCAATTTTTTTTTCAGAATTTCTCTATCTGCCTTGAATTCCTCTTTCATGTCCTGTACTATGCTCTTTATTTCCTTCAGCAATTTACTTGGGTCCTTTTGGAATTCAGTCAGGCATTCATTTGTGTCCTGTTTAATTTTATTAATCATTCTTATAATCATGTTTTGAATTCTTTGTGACACCATCCATTTCACTATGACTAATGTTTATTATTGTAGAGCTTTGCCTTATTTTTTCGTATTTCTTGTTTCTATGTTTGGATTTGCATATCAAGGCCAAGTCATTGGTTAGAAGTTTTGATCATCTGTATTCTTTTGGTTGAAATATTCTCAACTTTTAGGCGGACTCTGTTGTGGGAGGATTGAGATGTGTTTCTTACTAGGGGTATGACTCAGTAGCCAAGCATTTGCCCAGGTGCTCAGGGCACACTTGACCAAATCCTTACTATTGCTCAGGTCTAGGGAAAATAGCTGGTCTGTTCAAGAAGGATTGACTGCCTGTTTGGGGGCTGCTTTCACTGGGACCTACCAATTGCCACACAGAGCTTTACTGATTATAAGCCAGGAAGGTTCCTACTTTGTCCACAAGAGCCCAGTTTTTTTTCTCCAGGGATAGTAATCATCCAAGTTAAGGGTATATCCAGAATGCATCGAACGTTAGGGACCACTGAGTATTGCATTGGCAATGGGAGAGCTGGGGGACTAAGGCACTAAGCCTGTAACCTAGGTGCTTTCAGACTCCACCCAGTAGTTCACCTCTCGGTGGGAGTGTTGGGGTGGCAGGGAGGCTGTGGAAATCACATGATTCAGAGGGTTTGGCAGGGGACCCTCATTCCTGCCTGGTGGCAAACACATACCAGGATGCAGTTGCCAGAGTGGATCTCTATGCTTTTAGACCTTACCCAGAAGTTTATCTGGGGTGTGTGTAGTGGGGGGGGGGGAAGCAACTATGGATATCATGTGATTTGGAAGGCCTGAGCTCAAGGGTCATAGTCCCACCTAGCAGGAAACACATATCAAGATGCAGTTCCTAGAGGTATATTTCATTGCTCAGACACCACTCAGCTTTCACCTCCCTGTTGGGGGGGAGGGGTTTGCCATGGAAATCTGGGGGGTCTGGGCCCAGGGCACGCAGACCTACCTGGCAGTCAACCACATAACCAGGAGGCAGAACCTGGAAGCTGAATGCTACACCAGCCAAGGACAGAGCTCTGTTTCACTATGACTGTCAGGAAATGAGATTGACTCCTCACTAGGGAGGGTGGGGCCTATGTCCACAGCACCCTTCACTGCTACAGTTCCCCACTGCTTGAATTTCTTTTCTGGCTCACACAGACCTTCTCCTTTTCCAGATCATCTCTCATGGCCATTTCAAACCTAGACACTGTCAGGGTATCCCAGAACTCTCCCTAAGCTTTGATTGTTCTTTGTTGTCAAACTCATAGAGTATCTAAGACTCAAATGATGGGCCCTTTCTCAGTTGTCACCTTGCTATAGCTCTCTTAGATAAGGGGAGCAATAGAATATCTCTCTTTACTGAGGCAAACCTTTCACACTGGAGCAGTCATTATCTCACCAAATCCTTCTACTGAATTTAAGGATTGTGGAAGTTGTGGGCTCACTGTAAAGCTGTGATTGCCAGTCTGTCTCTGACGCCATCTGGCTTACCTTGTGTTTGTGTCTTTAACTTCTCCCCTTTCCCTGGGAGCTGGGGACGGGTCTTGGGATTGTTTTCTGCTTTTCTCTGTTGCTTTTCTGTTTCCCTGTGCATTTCAGCTGTCCTGCCACCTGTTTTATGATTCCTGATGCTCTTCCTCTCTTTCTCTCTTCAGCACATAGACTCTCCTTTGTTACCTGTTTTTATTTACAGAGTCAAAACAAAGGATGCTTGTAATCTGCCATCTTGCACCCACCCCCAGGCATATCTTTTTTTCAATGTATTTGTTTTCAACCTAGCTATGTAGTTATTTCTCTTCTTTTTCTCCTTTCTTGTCTATTTTTGTTTTGTCTGAATTCCATTTTTAATTTTACCTTTTTTTATTACTTTATATATATTCTTAATTTTATGCAGTCAACTTATGTAATGTATTCCATTGATTTTTTATATCACTCTTCCTCCAATTAATTTGGTAGTCATCACACTATACATACACTATACATATTCATATAATATATGAAATTATAACATGCACCATTAAATGGCAGCACCCAGACGGCTTGGGAAGACGCGGACCACAAGGTGAGCTAAGCGTCACTCGGTACTCCCACAGACAATGCTGGACCAGATCAGCATACCCTCTGGACAGACTGACCCCCTACCCAGGGAAAAAAAGAAAAAAAACCTGAATACTAAGCAGCAACAACAAAAAAGATACATAGCGAAGAGCAATGAGCACCAAAGAGGGGGGAGGGGAAATCCATCACAACAAGCCGGCTGGAGAAGGCAGAAGCAGCGGCACACACCCAGCAATCAAGGAGCAGGAAAGCTTGTAAAAGTGGCAGTGGGAGGAAAACTCCACAGGAGAGGGGGGAAGACCCACTTCCCATGTGAAATGTAAATAAACACACTGGCCTGAGAAAGGGGGTGCAGTGTCACCTCCCTCAGTGTGCTTGGAAAGGGGAAAGCTTGTAAGAGTGGAGGTTGAGCACAGGAGAACTCTGAGTAAATAAAGCCTGCGGGGCCAGGTGAGTGCTAAGCTCACTCCTGAGATCTGTATAAATAACGCCGTCAGCAACAGCAGGCTGACAGTAGCGGACAGGCAAGCCACAGCTGCAGTAGCCATTCACACTCCTGTCTCCAGACTCTTTTTTTCTCTCTTCCTTTGATGAGACAACAACCAAACTACACCTGCATGCTGAAAAACTTACTGAAACTCTATTGCATTTGAACTTGGGACATTTTGTGGGGTTTTGGTTTTTTGGGGGTTTTTGTTTGTTTTTTTCCCCTTTGATGAGACAACAACAGAACTACTTCTGAGACACCATCTCCAGGAGAGAAGGCTGAGGGACTAACACCAAAACTATCCAGACTGAAACTTTATTGCATTTGAACTTGGAGGTTATTTTATTTTATTTTTCATTCCTCTCTCTGTCTAATACCTGTTTAGCTTACTGTTCATTAGTACACTATCTTTGAAACTTTTTTTTCCTTCTTTGTTTTTCCCTTTTTCTTTACCTTCTTTGTTTTCCCTCTCCTGTCACCCTTCCATTCTAAATATCATCAATGTTATTATACAAGCTAGAAAAACTTAATTGCACACAATACAGGGACAATAACAATACCAAGGGCAATGATGGGAAGACAGAAAAAACAGGAAAAACAGTTTCCCCACAACAAAAAATTAGTACAGGAACCAGAGGGAAATGAAGAAAACAGATACTCAGATCCAGACTCTAACAAAATGAAAATAAACTATGCCAAAGAACCCAACGAAGCCCACAAGAACAATCTAAAAGAAGAAATCCTGCAGGTAATCAAAGAGAATTTTATAGAAATGATACTGGATATGGTCAACAAAATGTACAGGAGACGCTCAAGAAATTCCAAGACAACAAAAATAGAGAATTTAAAAGCAAAAGAAGAAATAAAGGAAACCATAGAGCACTGTATAAACACCAAAGTGAAACAGAGAACACGATTAATAAAGAGATAAATGAACTCAGGACAAAAACAGACAACATTAAAGAGGAAATGACCCAGGATATGGAGAACCTCAGAAAAAAGAACCAAACAGAATTGAAAAACAAAACGCAAGGCCAACCAGCAGAATAGAAAAAACAGAAGACAGAATCTCAGAACTTGAAGATGAAATGGTAATTAAAGGAAAAACTGAAGAACTATTAATTAAACAACTCAAGACCTGTGAAAAGAAAATGCAAGAACTCACCGACTCCATCAAAAGACCAAACATGAGAATCATGGGCATCGAAGAAGAAGAGGTGCAAGCAAAGGGAATGCATAATATATTCAACAAAGTAATAACAGAAAATTCCCCAAATCTAGAGAAAGATATTCCCATACAGATGCAAGAGGGCTCCAGAACACCAAACAGACCAGATCAAAATAGAACTACCCCACGGCATATCATCATTAAAACAACAAGTACAGAAACTAGGGAAAGAATATTGAAGGCTGTAAGAGAGAAAAAACAAGTAATGTACAAAGGTAAACCCATCAAAATCACAGTAAACAAAACCTGCAGGGCCAGGTGAGTGATAAGCTCACCCCTGAGATCTGCATAAATAAAGCCTCCAGCAACAGCTGGCTGACAGCAGCGGGCAGGTGAGCCATAGCCTCAGGTAGCCATTCACAGAACTGTATCCAGACCCTTTTTTTTTTTTCTCCCTACATTTGATGAGACAACAACCCAAATACACTTGCATGCTGAAAAACCTACTGGAACTGTATTGCATTTGAACTTGGGATACTTTGTGGGGCTTTTCTGTTTTGTTTTGTGTTGTTTTGTTTTGTTTTAGTTTTTTTCCCCTTTGATGAGACAACGAAACAACTACTTATCAGACACCATCTCCAGGATTTGAGGCTGAGGAACTAACACCAAAATTATTCTGACTGAAACTTTATTGCATTTGAGCATGGAGATATTTTTTAAATTAATTAATTTTATTTTCAATCTTCTCTCTGTCTCTCTAATGCCTGTTCAGCTTACTTTCATTAGTACACTATCTCTCCCTGTTATACCTTTGAAACTTATTTCTTTGTTTTGTTTGTTTCTACTTGTTTGTCTACTTTTTTCCCTTTTTCTTTAACTTCTTTGCTTTCCATCTCCTCTTACTCTTCCATTCTAAATATCACTATTGTTATTATTACAAGCTAGAAAATACTTAATTGCACACAATACAGGGAAAATAACAACACCAAGGGCAATGATGAGAACACAGAAAAAACAGGAAAACCAGTTTCCCCACAACAAAAAATTAGTACAGGAACCAGAGAGAAATGAAGAAAACAGATACTATATCCAGACTCCAACAAAATGAAGATAAACTATGCCAAAGAACCCAATGAAGCCCACAAGAATAATCTAAAAGAAGACATGCTACAGGTACGCAATGAGAATTTTATAGAGATGATACTGGATATGCTCAACCAAAATGTACAGGAGACACTCAAGAAATTCCATGACAACAAAAATAGAGAATTTGAAAAAGCAAAAGAAGAAATAAAGGAAACCATAGAAGCACTGTATAAACACCAAAGTGAGACAAAGAACATAATTAATAAAGAGATAAAAGAAATCAGGGCAAAAAGAAACACAACAAGGGGATTGGACTCTGAGCACATGATAAAAGCGAGAGCACACAAGGGAGGGGGGTGAGGATAGGTAAGACACCTAAAATATTAGCTAGCATTTGTTGCCCTCAACGCAGAGAAACTAAAGCAGATACCTTAAAAGCAACTGAGGCCAATAGGAAAAGGGGATCAGGAACTAGAGAAAAGGGTAGATCAAAAAGAATTAACCTAGAAGGTAACATACATGCACAGGAAATAAATGTGAGTCAACACCCCGTATAGCTATCCTTATCTCAAGTAGCAAAAACACTTGTTCCTTCCTATTATTGCTTATATTCTCTCTTCAACAAAATTAGAGATAAGGGCAAAATAGTTTCTGCCAGTACTGAGGGGTTGAGGGGAGAGGGAGGGGGTGGGCACTAAGGGAGAGTGTAGGTGTAGGAGGGAGAAATGACCCAATCATTGTATGCACATAAATAAAAAAATTAAAAATTAAAAATAAATAAACTCTGAAAAAAAAACCATGCACCCTTTACTTAGCAAAGTCTAATGTCTCCTTACTTTCATCTACTGCCATAAAATATAATAAAAAGAAATTAAATCGTCTCAACCTCAATTTATATTACTGCCAGTATTTTTCACTCCCACATAATTAAAATATGAAATACATTTTAATTTATAAGACCAATACTAAATTGTATTTATTGACTTATTTACAATTTTAATTATTTTTCATTCTTCTTGCATCTCTCATGAAAGATTATTCTTATTCTATCTAAAGAATACTCAGCTAGTACGGGTGTGCTGATGAAAAATTCTATCAATCTCTGACAGAAAGTATTTCATTTCACTTTCTTTCTTGGAAAATAGTCCTCTTTCTTAGCACTTATTTGCTTTCAGCACTTTTGGAATACCATTCAATTATCTCCAATTATTCTTCTATTCCTTGTTTTCCATATCAACTGTTGCTCCTTTGAAAACAATGTATGTTCTTTCTCATTAGCCTTGGTTTTAACAGTTTAATGAGACTAAGAATTTTCTTTATATTTTACCTACTTGGGATTTATAGGATTTTTGAATCTCTGGTTTGATATCTAGCTATTTTATAAAACTTTCACCCATTATCAATTCAAATTCTTTCTGCCTCATTCTCTCACAGATATCTTTTTTAGACTCTAATTGTGTATCTATAGGACCTCTTCACAACATCATCTTTGTCTAACACTCTATTCTTACCTGCTTTACTTTCAGTTATTTTATCTCTGCATGTTTCACTCTAGATATTTTGTTCTGACCTGTCTTTGAGTTAACTAATTTTCTGTAATGTGAGGTCTAATTTACTATTAAAACCATCCATCACAATTGTAAATATTTTCTTTCAATTTTGGAATTTCCGTGTTTCTTTTTTATGCTTGCTCTCTGAATTCTCCAGCCCTAATACACTTGAACATGCTTGTGCTCGGTTCTCTGAGTCACTGCTGGAAAACTCTTCTTATCTGGAGACTCTAGGAA